AATTTCTTACAGTGCTATCAGATGCGCCTTTTATACCAACCTAACCTCTGTCAATACAACAGACTAAACATACTACAATACTATAATATTCAAAATAAAACGTAAATGTGGCTTCGTGCAAGCGTGTTTATTAGCTTTTTTGCAAATCACGTGACATCATGAATATTCATTGCTTCGGTTCATTATACGATGTTTACCGGCTGAAGTGAAATACGGTAGAAATATCAAGCAGCTGCGTACGTGCTGAAAAGACATTCTTTCCATCCATTTCTCAAAACTCAAAAGGCGCATTAAAAACTCTATCAGAACAATATTGACCTACAATTTGGCGACATGACCCTACCAGGTGCGAATGTCCTTAATTTACTTACTAAAGTTAAACACGGTAAAAATTACAACATGTGCGGATTTGTTTAACAGACGTTGTCTTCTACCTATAACTCCTTAACTGAGCATTAAAAACTCATTAACGCAAAAATGACCTAAAACTTGGCAACTTGACCCTTCAGGTGATAATGTTAGAATAAAGGAGCGTTAATGTAAAACTAATGAGCAGAAACGGCTTAATGAGATAATTATCATCCAAGATAATCCAATATCGCCCTGGTATTTAAACAGTGTGTTTATCAATATTTAAAATCGATGAATATCACTTTAACGTTTCCCTGTTTTTCACTCAGCTGTAGTTTAAGTAGTCTTGAACATATAGCAGAGGATTTTTAAAAAAATGAATCAGTGACATAAATAGCACAACTGACAGAAATCTTTTGAAAATGGCACCTAGACAGTGCCATGACAGGTGCAAGGTTTCAGTGAGTAGTATTCTATTACAGTAATGATTCTACAGGCTAATTTGAATCTTTCAGATATTATCTTCATATCAGTAACATTGTATTTTGTACATTGACAACCAGCAACGAACGACACCAATCGAAGCAACCGAGCGTAAACATTAGTTCAAGTCGGTAATTTTCCTTGGTCACGAAGATGCGCAAGTGTACTTCCGGTAGGTACCTTGCCGAAAAATGCTGTTCGAGTAGTTCTGAAGACTATTTACATATTCAATAACCAAATCAACCCACAAAAATTGTGAACTATGGCCTCTGAAAGTGAAATGATAAGTCAAAATTATGTTGAAACATGTACTTGAAAGCCAGGTCTAAAAGCCAGAATAGAAGTTGTACAGAAAATGAGAAGATACAGAAGAATGACTATAAGAGATAATGTTTTTATTAAACCCAAGAGACAAATTACCGAGGAATCCAGACAAAATCATCTGTCTATTGAAGCTGTCATTATCAGCGATTCTTCGTAGACGTTTCATATTATCACTTGTATGGTGTCATGCCTTCAGGAGGCCGTCACATTGGACATGATATTTAAAAAAATCTGACAGTACTTTATAAATTACTGAATCTAAATTGAAAAAAAAGAATCTTTGGTCACTTTAAATCATTTTCAGGGAACCCAATTAACGTTCGTGAAGTGTAATTTTGTAGATTTTCGGAATAATATTGGCATCACGATCAAGCCCGTATCTGTCATATATCATGGGGAGACGAATCATGTGTCGGCCATCACAAAATTGAACCCTCTCGAATAGTATGTCTCTGTGGATCATAGCTGACCAAACTAAGTTCAAGGCAAATAATCTTTTTGACAATGGGTCACAGAAATACTGGGAAAAAATACCATTTTTTGATCATTTGATTCTCACTCACCGTAATCCACGTTACTCTCGAGCACCATTTCAGGTGACGTCATAGAAATCTGAGCACTAATCATAGAGTCACATAACTCTAATGCTCCGACCTATCTCAGATTACATAATGCGACCGGATATCCGGTTGTTTACGTCTATTATTGCTAATGCTAAAATTAATATAATAAATTGATGTGCTAAATTATACCATAATTAATCCTTTTGACTAAATGAGTTTCCAAAATAAAGTCTTATTATTATTGCAGTTATCATTTTCCTGAAAATTATTATATGATATAATTATATTTATATATGATTATAGTCAAAGTCTAGCTTAGCCCCCATTGATTTTCAAAATTGGGCACCAATTCACGGTTAAAAATAGGTCGAAAGAAATGAATGAGAAACAGGGGTTCTTTTGATAATACTAGCGATCACACAACAGACAATTGATATGTTATATTATCTCATACATGGGTATATTAATTACACTGACTTGATATAATTATGTTATTAAATAGATATTGCCAGCCTCTGTGACGCTGCAACTTGTCGACAAGGGATACGAGTACGTCAAGAATGTACCCAGTAGTACAATCATGATGTATATGTAATATGATATACGAAATGTTGATATATCCAGGCCCGTAGCTACAGGGGGCAAAAGGGGGGGGGGGGGGGGGTTGACAACCGACCAATTCAATTTATGCAACTAAACATCATACACCATTGCCCCTCCGGATATATTACTTGCCCCTCCTGACAATCAAGTTTGGCAAAAGTAGCTTAACTTAACACTATTAAAATCTACCGGAACAAAATGTGTTTTTGACGTCACATTATATCTTGTTGAAACTGTAGATATCCTTACCAGAATACAATGTTTACTGATGTCGTCGTGATTATGGTAATTTTTGTTATGAAAAATGGAAACAAAGGTCTGAAATTAGTGTATCCACGTTTCTAAGAAACTAAATCTTCGGATCAAGCACTCGAGAGAAACATCGGGGCTAGCACGCACAAGGTAACAATTGTCTATATGCATTTGTGTGATCTTATTTGGCCTCTAAAGCCCAGGATCGGTTCATGAAATCATGGTTGAACTGGAAGTCGGATTCTCAGTTTGTGTTCTTGAACTGATCAACTCGGGAACGAAGGTTTCATCCTGGAAAGTAGCTCGGTTGGCTGAAATTTGGGACAACCGGCCAATATATACCAGTTATGAATGTCATAACATTCTTTCAAGTAAATCTACGTTTCATTATTTTCCAAAATCTAATATGTAGACAACAATATTACTCTTAATATAGTAAATTAATCTATAGCTGATGGAAATATTTTATCCTGACCAATTTACTAGAGTGAAATATACACTGCTTCCGGCTTTCACGTTAACTTAACGAGAAATATCATCAACTAGGACATGCCTCCCAACATAACTCTCCCAACTGAATATTGATATAAGTTTATTCATTAAGGCTAACAGGACACGACAACCTCGTATCTCTTACTGATAGACTTTTAATTAACTGCACCATGCTACTTGGGGTTCAGACAAGTCAAGTCTATAAGAGGCAAATTGATATAATTTGATTTATTAAGGTAAATAGGGCACGACAACCTGACATCTCTTCTCGTTCTTGATTTGCTTGACTTTCAATTAGTCTGTACCTTGCAATTTGGGGTACAGGAAAGTCAAGGCACATTGGGTTAATTTAATGCATTAATTCGAATTGGGCACACCAGCCTTCTTCAATCATTGCCTCATATCTTTTCCAGTTGTTGAATTACTAACCTTTCAGATAATCTGCATCTTGCTGCTTTGGGTACAGATAATAAAGGCTTTCCGTCAAGATAAACCGCCTATCTGTTACCCAGTTTGACAACTCTCTACCTACCTAGTTCCTCAGACGTGATATGATAAGTCTCCATGCACACCAGTGCCGTTATCCCATATAAGATCACGTTTGGGGAACTAGAGACAGCGTTTGTCGGACTACCTCTTTCCTAGTTCCATTTCCTGTTCTTCGTGTGTCATGTTGTTTTTCCTGTAATATGGAGAATTAGTTTTGTTAATTCTTCATTAGAGAACCACTTTTCTTTGTCCAAGAACAAGGCGAATATTGACAAACTGTTTTTATCGAAGTCTGTATTGATTATCTATCCAGAGTTATTTCCCTCTACTGCTTATTTGTCAAAGGAAATCGATGGCATTGTGTAATTAATCTTAAGTAAACTAATAATGCCTAATATCTATGTTCATATCGAATTGTTGTAGATGTAGGACACGACAACCTTCGTGGGAGTTTTACCTTGCATCTTCCAGTTAGATTTTTATTTAGTCTGCATCTTGCTAGCTCCTACTTTGGGTACAGATGAATCAAGACTATATTAATAAGAAACAAATTAGTATCAGTTTATTCATTAAGACAAACAGGGCAATGCAACCTCGTATCTCTTAATCATTAAATTATTCTGTGCCTAGCTACTTTGGGCATGTCAACCTTTTACTTCTAGAATCAAGAAACAAACACCTGGTTTGTCCGAATTCAGACGTTTGTAGTCAGTCAGAAATTAAACCATTTTACCTTGCCTCCCAACTGGCTGATCTGCACAAAAGACATAGACTAAGCAAGTTCCTAACAAAACAATGGTCTTGTTATTTATCAGTGATTACCAATAAATTGATTCCGAAAGATGCAATCCAACTTCTTCAATGTACATTAAGTACATTGTCAATTAATATTGTGGTCTGTATGATTATCTATTAAGAGTTATTTCCCATTAATACTATTTAGCAAAGGGAATCTAGTATAGCCTATTACGGCATTGGGTATTTAACCGAAAGTAGGCTTATACTGATAATGCTAGGTGGATATTTATAATAGAAAAATACTCATTGATTGGTTTTATTATTCATTTTTCTCGTTTATTTCTGATGTCAAAGTGATTGCAATCCCAAAATTGTAGGTATGCTCCGCGGAGTTAGAGATGTTCCGCGAAGTAAGATAGAATTAAGAATACATTTGAAGAGTTTCTCTATTACATATGTTGCTATGCTCTTTTCATAAACTTCGAATACACTAATAATGTTACCCTATCATTGAAAAATGATCATCGAGTGGAAAACAGCTAAGAATGGCCATTGCTTTATCATTGTCTGCATTCATTTCCGCGAAGTTAAGAGGATACTGCGAAGTAAAGAGAATCCGCGAAGTAAATATAGCTCTGCGAAGTAGATTACTAAGCTTATAAATACGGGAAGATTGGCGAAGTAGTCATATTTAACTATACAGCTGAACTAAACAGTTCGTTTGATATCATAGTAAAGATCTATAGATAGAAAGTCAAATAACTTCAAAATAAGTTCATAATGATTGCCCTACCAAATGGTCCTATTGAGGTCGTTTTTTCGATCGATACCACTGGATCCATGTCAAGAATTCTGGATGAAATCCAAGCGCGTCTTAAAGACATGATAACGAGACTACAAGCAGATATTCCCGGAATCAAATTTGCTGTCATAGCTCATGGTGATTATTGTGACGCTGAACATTTTTATGTGACGAAGCACGTCGATTTTACTGACGATTTGCCCAAGTTATGTGACTTCATGAACAATGTTGGAGGAACGGGAGGCGGTGACGTCAGTGAATGTTACGAACTGGTGTTACGAATGGTCCGACAGAACCTTTCGTGGACTCAAACATCTCAGAAAGTATTGATAATGATTGGTGATGCGTATCCTCATGAACCAGATTATCCATTGAACACCAATAAGATAGATTGGAAAGAAGAGGTCCAAATATATACCCAATCGGTAAGAAACATTGAAAGGTGTCTTTTTTAGGAAGCGTCGTCTTAAGGTGAATACAGATCCAACAAAAACAACGTTGACGTTAATGAGAAAAAATGCCTAGCCCTAGGTCGGATATTAAATCGTCTTCATTTTGATGCTTAATAAGAAAATTACTTATTTATTTCTTGAATCGAACACGAAACTGTTTATTTTTTCAGGACGTGCACATTTACGGAGTTCACGTATTTGATGACTTGGAATCAGAAAAATTCTTCAGAATGATATCAGAACAGACGTTTGGCGAATATATCAAAATGGCCGATTTCAGCCATGTTTGTGACGTCATTATGGCTATATGCTATCGAGAGAGAGGTGCTGAATTCCTTGAGGTGAGTGACCTAGGCTGCTTTATTGTACTTCGTAGTATGGATAATGTCTTTGGTGGTGACTTTTTTCACTTCAAAAAATAAATTGAACTGGTAAATTCCCCACGATTTTGTGAAGATCCAATGCTAATGAACAAATACCTAATACATAATACATAATACAATTTGAGTTATTTGGTTTTTTTGATATTGTGTGTCCACTAGTCCAGTTAGATAGTTGTTCCGATTGCAACCACCTTATCGAAAAATAATGATGTGATTTGAAACTGTAAACTCAAATTTTATGGTTTTTTTTGTATCATTTCAGGGATATGAACGGGAGGTGAGGTCGAGGTTTGGACTGGCAGCGTTGGATGTCGGGCTAGAGGGTGTGTTTGGTGCTTTGAAAAGGGTAGATTCGAAGGCGAGCAATGCATCACTGCCGACTGCTATCCGGACACCTCCATTATCTCCCCTTAGCAGCATTGATTCTATGGAAACAGACCCTCAGACAGTGGTTCCGTATGTAGATCCTGGGAGTGGATCAGTTCCTGTCAGTATTTCACTTGTCGATTCTACAACTTTTCAGTCAAAAACACGGAAATTTCCGAAATCTGTCAAACGAGTGGTCACAACTGCAAGGAAACCTATACCAAAACCTGCCACAGTATCTGCAATTGTAAACCCCAGACTCCGAAGGGAGCGTGTAACAGTAAACAATTTCCGATATAGTTATTTGGACTGGTCTGTGTGGAAACTTGCTGTCCAACCGAAATCCGGCGTTGCCACAGACTCAAAGAAGTGGATAAACAATTATGATTTTTTGGTTAAAAAGTCCTTATTTAGAGCGGGTTTTTCCAACACACGTTATTTGTACGAGTTCTCCGTTCAGACAAAGCCAGGTGGAAAGAGACACGTGGTTTACTGTGACGTAATCAATCACAAAAAGCTCAGCTCTGACTGGCGAGACATTTTGAATACAGACGATTTAAAAGACAAAGTTGACAACGTGATGGATTCCAAGTGTAGAATTTTCGTCCGTCGAGCAGTCGTCTCCCGCGCTTTTCGTGGAAATAAAAAATATAGTCAACTGAAGTCGCATGTAGAAGAACTTTACGATTACGTCTGGTCGCAGACGTCAACACGTGACCTGAATATTAATGGTGTGGACATAGCGTGAAGATCGTACTTAATATTTGAGTAAAGCTCCTGATTCAGTGAGAATAAAAACACGTGTTGTCTGCCACAATATCATTGTGATAAGATAGACTTGATTATCCTGGCCTCTTCTTCCAGCGTTGAGTGACACGTTTTTTCCGTCTGGTTTGTCGGTCAAGATTACATAATTGAAAGGATGACTTGAGGAACTGTGGACAGAAGAGTGAATAGTAAGAGTGAACTACGAGAACTATCAGTTCAGTGTAATGGACTGAATTTGAAACGGTATGACTAAACAGTGAGATCAAGACAAATCTACCATAAACACTGATAACACATCTAGAACAATCAATGTATATCTGCGTACTTGTATACTGTTTTGTTTTGTAATTTGTTGCTCCTTATTGTTGTCAATTAAAGTTTATAGCATTGTCTGTTTTGTTTTGTAATTTAGTGTTCATTATTGTTTTTATATTAAAGTTAATGACATATATTTTGAAACGATTAGCATTTAAACATTGAAATGATACATTTGAACTTTGAACTTTAAATCTTTAAAATGTCATAAGGAAATAGGAAAGCTGAAGATAAGAAATTACCAGCTGTCGAGGGTCAACATTGGAATTCAAACAAAAGCCACACGTAAAAATTATCCAATCCAAGAAATTTATGACATGCACTAATTAACACGAACTTTATAGTCCCGGGGATAAAATAATTATTAAATATTTACACTGCTCCTTATGGTCCCTTATCACTGCACACGACTTCTTACTACAAGTAAAGACTGCAACATTTCAACAAAGTCTAAAAATCACATTTTAAGATTTAGAAATGGCTTTAAATGTGTTTGAAAGCTTTGCTGAAATATCAAACCTTTTAAAGAAATTCGACTTTTTAAGTCAAGTTAGATTCAAAATGGTTGTGAACTGCGTTCGTGTGTGTTATTTCCATGTAAGAATCATACGTAGTTTCGAATGTCTACACGACAGACTATAGTTCTACACCAGAGATTGAACTCTTTTCAGCATAGAGCTATATATCAGAAACGAGAGCAAATAATATATAAATAACGAATCCCTTTAATCATCAAACAAATACATCAACAGTTAAAATATACATCAAGTTTCATAAACATAAATTTTAAACACAATCAATTAATCTGCTCCGTTTTTCCTCACATCCGTAAAGTTACCTTACTTGGACTCTGCATTCACTGCATACGACAAAATATGTCGATATCGTTCGATATCAGAGATTGATCTTAAGCAGCTGTTTAGACACCACGAAGTTCCTAACTAACATTAGCTATACTTATGTACCAGTAAAGTCTTCAGTCGAAGAGGTGAGACTGGAAGCTGTCAACAAGACCGTTCACTGTTATGCCGATACAAAGAAGGCTGTTATGCCAGGAGTTGTTTTTAATCACTACTGGTTAGGCTACTCAAGCTACTACTAGATGGTGATAACAACAGACCTTTACCTTTCTGGTCAGCTGGCTTGCCGAAACTGGAGACGGTGGACGCATCGGATTCTATTAACGGCGCCCTTCTATCCATTTCAATAACTTCAGACGCGGTCGCTTGTGCGCTGATACCAGCCAGATATCTGAATTCTAGTATAGTATTACTCAGCCTATTCCTCTCTCGGATTTCTTCTATCTTCTTTTTACGTGCTCTAGCCTTTTCTCTCATGGCCAGAACATGGAATTCATCTTCGCTCGAGTCCAGTTCTTCACTTATATCAGAATCTTCACCATAGTCCAAAATATTCATGCATATATTACATATATTGTTAAGATCGACGAAACAATCCAAACAGTATACGGCATTACACCCAGGACCTTCACAATGATGGAAATTTTCATAGTCTTTCTCTTTTCCTTCAGTACCACAATTTATACAAGCCTTCTGTTTGTAACCCAGAAATTTCATAACTTTACCGATCCTTGGATACTGTATTGCTATACGAGCCTTTAAACTGGTGGTTTCAGTAGATTTGACTCCTTGATACTTATGTTTCATCATTCTTGCCATCTTATACTTAAGTTTACCCCTCATCTTCAGAATTCTGTTGTACAACCAAATAGCTCTGGCGTGATCTCGTTTTGGATAATAACAACCTGCGATGATATGCCGGAGTCGTAAACCATAAGCTTCAAAGATATTCGTTATCAAACAACAAATCAAAATGCCAGTAACAATCTTGTAAATTCTGTAATTGGGTACTCCAGGGTTCGGCATGCACGGTGTGGTATCCACGTTTAGTTGATGACCCGTTACAGGGTCAAGGACACCCATCATGGAGCGATACATATCAGCCATAGATCCTTCACCCTGTACATGTACTTTAAGATGAGCGGGTACAGGGGCCGTTGTTTTTATCTGTAACTGCTCCTTGATCAATAATAGAGTCCAATATAAACTGTAATCACTCAAGATGTAAAATGATGCATTGATGATATTCAATACAAGAAATACAATTCCTTTCAATAGTTTCTTTTGTTCGTTTTCGGTGAAACTTGGCGAGAAGGTACCGATATATTTCTGTTTTTCTTTTGTCCGCAAAGGGAGTATAGTTGGCAAGCCTCTCAGTTTTCTCTTGTTGTCGATATATTTGATTGTTTCAGTCATATACGTATTGTCATATTTATCCTTAGTCAAATATTTCCATCGATACAACATTGCCCGGACGAACACCAGTAGAAAGGTAAACATCATAATACTTTCAGCTCCCGTGATGGCTTGATCTAAGACTGATAGTCGACTTTTAACATCATTCATAATATCCCGCTTCACATCATCATAGGATTTAGATTGTACCATCGTCAAATTATAGTGATATTCCATTGAAACATTAAAATAAAACATTTTCTCTACGTCGTGAATGGCGGCCTTTATTGGAGCCCCAATTTCGTCCACCACAAAACTCACGACAGCGTCCACCACAATGCACAACAATTCACCTATTCGAGCCACGTTGCATACACTGGCAACAATATCCACTATTCCACACAAGAAGTTCATGAATCCTAGTTTTACTTGACAGTCATCAGATGCATCCTTGAAAGCCTTCAGGCACTTCTTATAAGGTGCTCCCATATTTTCGTTGCATATATCAGTTATACTGGCCAACCATTTAAACACTCGAGCTATTGCTGAACAAATCTCTTGTATAGCATTCTTCATTGCCACGAAAGCTCTTTTAATGGATCTAGCAAATCTGGAGATAGCCTTCAACATTTCTCGCAAACCATCAGCCATCGAGGCTATTGGAGAAACTGCAGTTTTAACCAGATCTTTTGTTTCATTTAATGCCATGCCTTGTCCACACGTAGCACTTTCCGACATGACCAGGATATTGTTACTAAAGTTAGTAACGGGGTAAATCATCACCAGTACCATGGCGTACATTAGCAGGAAGGACCTGCCTTGACTCGTGAAAAAATTTGGAATAACCAACAGCATTACACATCTAATAAGGTCCGAAAAAGCCAGTCCAATACAGAGTATGAAACTCACCATAATAGCAAGAGTTACGCAAATTTTTAAGTTCAACTGAAGGCTCAACGCCATCAGGACGTATATACCAAACGACATCACTGTTCCAGCGAAAAACCACAAAATACTTCTGAATATCTCGTTATTATATGTTCCTTCAGTAAGCGTCCTGGCAAAACAAGATGTCGATTTGCAACAACAAAACTTTTTGTTTTTCTGTTTCCCCTTATGTAGAACACAGGGACAGCACATTCGTAGTAGTGTTTGTTTGATAAACTCCATTACAACAATATACCAATTTTCGTACCATGATCTTAGGGGAGGAAGTCCCTTCTGGGCACGAATTGAGTTGATTTTCGCTCTTTCCAATCTGGCGACCGCTGCTTTCAACTTAAATGCATTTATCATCCTTCGGCTTTCCCTGTTCATCTTGATTTATTATTCCAAATGAATACCATACAAACTACAGATAGCAATGAAACAGGAAAGATGACCACGTCTTCTTGAGACGTCTGCCTTACATGACGTAATAAAGTTTGATTACGTCGTATGACGTCATCATGACTAATAACGACAAAGCGGCAAAGAAAATGAAATGGGAAATGATATCAAATAGAGTTTTACATCCTACTTTTCGGTATTTGATCCGGTTAATCAATTATGTTATATGCCATACAAAGCAATTGACACTAAGCGTCGGTTTATTTCTCATAGACTCCCAAAGATTTAACAATATTCCAGATAGTCCTAATAGTGCATAAGAACCAAGCATTTCGCATTAAAAGGCACTAGTTGTTATCTCACCCACGATGACATAGCAAGACTAGAGTCAATTCACCTATTAAATGCATGGCATAGAAATCTAAAATAGATCCGGTCGTGTAGACTGTTTCTATATTTTCCTACACTATCTATCTGACCTACTATTTCTTTTATGTAACTTTGACACATTATCGCTTAAAATAGATGTTTGTATTGGCCCTGTGGGGTGGTGCTTGACGACGTGTAATAAAGGACAGGATGGGTAGTGTATAGGGACAACCTGTATATGAAATATTAACTGAGTTTAGATAGGAGAAATACATAATTGTTTTATGTTCGTATTTTCTGCATTTAATTGATTAATGAAACAAAAAATAAGCATGTCGCCCTTATAGCGGACAAATTTTACATTTAGTTACAACAACAATGGGCTAATCTTTTTCGTACGATCTTTGACAGGATTTTTCTAAAAAGGTTTTCGAGCATTAGTTTATATTTGTAACATTCTGATATCCAGTCCGACCGGTGCGATTTATGTCGTAATTCCAGATAATAACGTGCTAGGAAAACAACGCCATTAGCTCAAATATCTTATATGCCAAATCAGAGTACATCGATACCATGTCTGTGTGGAATGAATATTTTAAATATTTGGGAAGATCCTTCGAGTTTTAAGTTTTTAAGATAGATAAGGTATTGTTCTAGGTGCGTTTTATCTTATCTTTAATCTCGGGTCTGAAGACAATCCGTCACTTCTCATTTCTTCCTTTTAGAAGCAGGTCAGTAAGAAATCTTTATTACAAATTAGATCTAAGTCTAAAGCTTCTGCGTGTATCATTGTTAGATGCCTAATGTTCGATTCGTGTGCATAGTTGTCATCAAAGTCGTCTTTATTGTACGGAATATGGCCTGATTCACGTTGGATAAAACGTGTTGTCGTCCATCACTTCTTGCGTATTGCAGATAAGAAAATCGGTAATTATATTCTAAGGCAAGATGCAAGAACCATAATGTAGACACGCCGCGAAGAGAAATTGAGCTAGAAGCGTCTGCCGTAACTTAATTCACGTAGGTTGTGTATGCCCACTTAAACATATAGGATGCTAAGCCATCTCTTTTTTTACAATATGGTTACACCACTTTTTCTAGATTCCTACGGCTATTCAAAATGACGAGGACCTATTCAATTCACGTTTTAATTTGAATTTTAGGATGTTTGGACCAGTGTCATTATTGGTATTGGGGTTAGCCGCGACACAGGCTCTGTTAGTTGTCAACCAAACCAGCAGTCTACGATTAGAAAACCAAAATGGTCAGAAGAATTTATTTATGGGTTTAGCTGATGCTATGGCTTTAGATACCGACCAGAATCTACTCTACGTTGTTGGTGAGTATCAATATACTTTAAAACGGGTCTCTAGAAACCCTAAATCTTGAATTTTGATCTGGAACGTTATAATTAAAGAAAATAAACCATATATTTTATATGTATATCTATGGTTCAGAAACAAGCCGAAGTTTATATTAATCCGTTACCATTATTAGAGATACCAACAGATCGGCATTTTACAGCATGTGGCGAAAGCACATTATACACAGTATTCTGTGTTATTCGACGTCTAATGGGCCTGCAAAAATATGTTGGATTATGGAGAGTGTCGTGGTATTCAAATTTATTGATTTATCATTGAAACCACTGTTACTATTTCTAACTTTGAGTATGTGACTCCGATGAGTTTTTCGGGTGTATTTTTGTTAGTCGACCAAAATCCTGAAACAATCTTGTGCGTTAAGAGTTTCATGTAACATTAAGACTGCAAAAACACTGCAAAGAAATTGTCTTTATCATCTATTGTGTATTTTCCAGGTGGTAATACTGATATGTTGAACGTAGTGGATGTTTCATTGAAAGACAATCTGAGGTTATACTTCCAGAAACATTTTAGTGCTGTCAGTGACGGTATCCCTCTCTCAGTCGCTGTCTGTCGATTTTCTGGCCTCAATCAACTGGCTAGACTTGCTATTGGTTTCGCTAACAGAGAGAAGACCTATGAGGGCCATATTGAAGTGTTCGATTTATTGACCGCTGGAGCCAGTAATCCTCAGCTTGTGATACGTGAAAATATTGCAGGTGAGTATTGCTGCACAATGAACACATTTTGGGTTCCTAAGGACTGGAATTTGGAAACTGAGTATTTGGAAGAAAAGCTTGGAACTTGCGCTACAAGATATATTCTTCATTTCCATACTACTAGAAATTTAAATTTCGATGATGAATGATAGTTTGTGTTTCACAAACCGCCTTTTCTTCAAGGTTATCGAAACAATTCTCATGGGCTACTGTTTCAGACCAGTTATTCAAATCAGGATAGCCACTGTCTGCTGATAAAGTTATTCAATCTGAAAGGTATATAATGACGTAGGTTGTGTTAGTTAAAACCTCGACACTTGTAAGATGTCTGAATCCAATTTTATCGTTATTATAATATTTAATTGGCATGTAGTGAGGCTTCCTCAGTCGCTAAAGAAGGTTTATGCCCTTTTCTTTCATATATTTGATATATCGTCATCGGTGTTTGACGTTACACTTTTCTAACCCTTTCAGCATGTATAACTTGGCCCAAAGTGATTTCATTTAATATCCATATTACTTTGAGTTCAGATTTCAGGGTATATAGGTGTTTATCTTCATTGTTCATAAGGGGGTTAAGTTTCTTATTATTTCCAGTACAACCTGACCCAACGAGTTTAAAATTCAATGAAGAATGCGACCAGATTGTTGTTGCTTGTGCTGGTGAAGCAGGTGGTCGAAATGATCCCAAAGTTTTTGTAGATCCCGTCGGCCATGTTGATTTGGTTCAACTGAACCCTCTTGGTGGTTATACTGTACACAGACTTAATTTTGCGTGAGTTTTTGTTTCATTTGAATTTCTGAGACTTTAAATTCTTTGCGACAAATGGAAGGAAACATTTAGCTTAAAGTTTGACACCAAAGAGTTGTTATGGCAAACCATCTATCAAGGCATATTGTATAGCATTTAACGGTCAAAATTGTTAGTTGATTATGTTAAATTTGTGGTGCCTCTACCTCGTCGACATAAAAGCTTCTTGGTTTGTTCTTCAGAATTGCAATTTGATAGGTAGTCCTGGTTTCTCTTCTTAAGTTCTCGGAATTACAAAGGGTAATATTATAAGGGACAAACAATGATGACACATAATTCAATTCATTTAATTTCAGTGCCAATAATTCAGCTGTTCGTCAGGTTTATAACAACTACAACGATATTAACCAAGGACTCGCTAATGATCTTGAACCGGAAATTATTGCCTTTGGCTCAAACAACACTGCTTACGTCATTTGTCAGGTAATGCCATGCATTTTTATATAATATTTTACTTCATTAATTCTCCTCAGTTGTTTACTTCGAACCTATGAGAGTGTACAATATTTCAATCCGATTTACCCCTTTCGCTGATGACAAATACAGAGATCGTCTAGACGTGCCAGACAAAATCCGAGATCCAGTGTGCTTCAGATAAACGATGACAAGCAGAAAAACACGAAGACAAATATGTAGATTTACATTGTAAACGGTTTGGTGAAATAAAAATTATAACATTATAGGAGAATAACGCTGTTGGTGGATTTGATACTACCAGAGTTAACACTGACATCCAACTGTATGATATGGGAACAAAAGACTTCAGCATGTATGACGTAGATACCAGTGATGCTGATTTAAGTATGACATTTTTTAGCTATAGATTATCTGCCAAAACTTAAAAAAAAGTGCAAACAATGATGATATATTTACGTCATTTGTAAAATTAAGAGATAATGGCCCTATTCTCAAATGCTGTGCAGATTACTGAATTTGAGCTCCACCAATCAACAACACAATATCCCATGTTGATGTCATCCTGTAAAAGAAATGGTGCATTTTTGGTTCATTCAAAGTCAGCCATTTTCTATCTAATTGAGCTTCAGTAACCATCAACAAACAATTACTGTTCTTTGTTTTCATAGATGATAGTCCAAATGGAGATGGTATCAACCTTCAGAGACGAAACATCCAAGCTTTTTATCAACCAGGAGATATGAAAGTGTTCCAACATAACGGTGAAGATTATTTACTAACAGCCGATACTGGAGCTCAGAAACAATTCACTGCCGTTGAGCAAGGAGTCGATTTTACTGAATCTAAACGTGGACGTCAATTTGACGGTAAGAAATGATGTCTCTCTGCCTATATTTGTCAGCGAAAGTCTTATTGTAGATTAGTTTGGCAACTGATCAATCCTTTTTGGTTATTTTACATAGCTAATGATAGTGACTCGATGTATCTCTTGTGAACCAACACCTGCTTGGTACATCTACTTATCTAGATAATTGCTTTTATGGTATATTTCTTATGTACTGTGCCATATGCACAAAGTCGTGATAAAATTAAACCTTCATATCCAATTCCTGATAAGATTTAATATCCGACACTAGTGAAAGCAGCATTATACAAAACTTCTCCAAAGTCTTTCTATTAGTTTTCCTTGTCCATGCATATGCCTTACCAGACGCATTTGTTCACTAACCTAGAATCCTTATGATTCTAATTCAAATGTTTTTATGTAAAATTATCTTTGTTTCAGCCAATGAATTGAACACCAACGCCTTAGGATCTGCTACTGTTGATGATCTGAGAGATAACGCCAGATTAGGTAAGGATACCGCACTGTATTTCATATAAAGTAGAAATATTCTTGTAGACAGTGTACAAATAAAAACTTGGTTATTATGTCAATAGGCCAGGGTCGCCAGGCCCTGATTTTACTCTTGATCATTTATCGAAGAACCTGTGTGTACATTTCAAAACAAAATAACTAAATACCACCAGATCTTACCGGATCGTTCAAAATGAAATAAATGACAAAGCCATGTGTCAAGCCAAATGTCTTTGTAAAAATAGTAAACGTTTTCTGCCATGTGAATTTCATCAACAAATATAGTCGATGCTATATATCTATAGGTAGACTGTACCTCAGTAATCTACAACAGAAATTGGATGGGTTTGATGATGTTATTACCAATACCTATACATCCTTGAGAATGTATGGTGCTAGAGGCTTCTCTATCTGGAGACCCAGTGATCTGTCTCAGACTTATCACAGTGGTGGTGAATTCGAATACCAGATGAAAGAAACCTACCCCAGTTTATTTAATGGTGATATTGTAGGTGGTAATAGAGTACCAACACAAGATACTGATACTCGATCAGACGATAAGGTACGTGAGGTTTCAGGCGATCTGAAACCTGGGAAATCTCCCTGGCTTAATCAAGGCATGGGATCTAATTGCTTGAACCTTCAACTGAACAGCAGTTCTTGCTTTCCCGTATCCCAAAATTTATGATCAAGGAAGGGTGGAAAGACAGTACTGCCAATAGGATAAGAAAACCTACATGTACTTATTTACTTCCATTTCATATTCGCTCTAAGGAACGTAGTCCTCTCGCTCTAGTTCCACTCTAACAGAAATGAAATAAGGCTGGTCCACGCCCTATGGCGCTATTTATTATACAGGTACGGGAAAGTAGAGAATATTGGACAGAATGCCATCTATTCATGGATAATAACTATGGGTTTGAAATACCTTAAGGCTTGTATCATTCCAGGGCCCTGAACCAACTGCTATCGCTACTGGTATGGTTAACGGTAAGAGAATTGCCGTCATTGGTAGTGGACGTACTGGTACACTCTTCGTTTACATCATTGAACCCGATAGTGCCAATCTCCCTGTTGGTCGATTCCAGAGTATCTTCAGACCAGGTGATGCCAATGACAACTGGACCAATTTATGGAACCAAGACAGAGCTGGACATCCCAGAATTACCGCCATGGAGTAAGTGGGAAGAATGATTTACATACTTCGAAATTATGATTGAAATCTACTGAGTCGCCCCAAGAGTCACTGTTTATTCTGATTAGTGCAACAAGTATGACATATCTATGAGTACGCCTACAATACAATGACGGACGTAACTGCAAGTTCACAATCTCGATTTTGCCATAAGCTACTGTTCTGACCGTGCTTGGACTGTGATGGGCAGTGGATTCCGATTTATGATTATGTTGGTGAGAAAATAAACATGCCAGTTTCTGCCAAGCTTCCATAAGTGCTTAGACAATCTCTCAAAGCCTTTTACGCGAAAGCAAGGGCAAGTAACTCAGTTCAGACCACATTGTAACCCTTTGTTCAAACACCTCTAAAGATGTTCTCGTTTATTTCAGGATTATTGGTACTGATTTGTATGTATTAGGTGGAGCTACTGGTACCGTTAATGTCTACTCATTAAACGATATCTAAACAGATGCAAATAAAAATTTAAAACTAATATTAATTTGTACTATTTAATGACTGAAATTAATATGTGCTACGTCCCTCTATTCTGCACCTGTTTAGCTGATGACAACGGGTAACGCTGCATGGACATTGGCATTAGCCTACTCGTTTTCGATTTCTTAAAGTCGAAGGACCTGAACAGCTTGTAGCACATGGTGTCTAGATTTGCTGTCACGTGTCCAGTCCGAGCGACAGCGGTTCCGACCTGACCTGGGTTTTGGTAAAAGGAGATGAAAATATTGTTATAAATAACACAGATCGTGCGACACGTTCGTGTGTGACCCGATTGACTGTAAATATAAATTTTGTTATCGGGGACAGGAAGGAGTCTTGTTGACTGAATTAAGCCTCTGATATTTCTAATTTTGATGAATATACTGACTCTGATAGCTATTATTGAATAATCACCGGTTGACTCTGATAGATATAATAGAACGGGGACTTACAGACTATTTGTATATTTTGTAGTTTCGTCATTATTGCAAAGGGACTGAATGAAAGATTGAAAGATGAAAGATACTGACGAGAGACAAACAGTAAAAGAATTAAAATGCCTGAAATGTATATACGTTTCTTGATACAAAGTTTCAAATTTTACACAATTCTCATATTTCAACCAACCTCTAATAAAGTAGGGCTTGGTCGTCTGTAGGGATTTCCCGCTCTTTAATACACATATTACTACATAATACAACTAGATATCAAATTTACCTATCTTATTGAAGTGATTAATTTTAAATCTGATTCAGCTAATCCAGGGATTAAGAATATTATTAAGTTATTAGCAAGCCTATCCCATTTCCAACATCAAAAAATTTATATTTGGTTTTAATGCGTTATTTTTTATTGCCTTGATTTTTAATCAGATTTTTAATTAATTTAAATTCTTAAGTTTTTCTCGTGGAAATTTTAGTCATACGATCTTTACATAAATCCTCCTTTTTTCGTTTATTTTTAATTTCAAAACCTTACAATTGTATCGATGACAGTAATTGTCCTTCGATAGCATATTAGAATGGCGCGTTTTCCACTGTATCGTGAATATCGGCCTGTCTATATTGTCATAACATTTAATTGCCGACGAATAATACCCAGATTCTCATTATAAAAATGACACGAAAGAATATTATCTTCAATGGAGCTGTATCTGCTTTTAGAGCAAATATCATACACCAGTTTCTCATTGATCGTCTTGTAAAGATAATATCCATGCCTATGTCGCTTTGATATTCCTCTGATATATGCTAAAGTATTCGAGATAATTTTCGTATGCAATAACGAGATAGTTACGAATGTTGAGGTTATTTAGTACGATATTAATTGTTCTAATTTCACTATAAAATGAACTAATGATTAACTAGTTTTAGTCTAGTAGATTTGGTCGGAATAACGAATTATTCTTATTAACTGTTAGCTAATTCGCAAAGTTATTGATTGACATGGTCATTGCATGTTTCGGATACCATTTTCTAATCAAATTCATTTAAAGAACGTGAATGAGATACAGTACAGGAAGATAAAAGAGGTAGGTCATTTTCAATTATAAAATTTAACTTGCTTTGAAAACTTCATGAGATTGATTGACCCACAGAAGTTGTAAAACAGGAATTGGCCCCTTTCTCCTTAATATGGGCCATATTCAAAAGAATATTCTGCTGTTATGTTAATGCTGTTAATATCGGCCAGGCCAGACGAATCTTGGTATCTTAGTCTTTTTGATATGTTGTTCATGTACCGTATAAATGGTAATAGAGGGTGAACTTTTCTTAACTTGTAGAGGATTCGAACCCACGGCACCTAATCGCCTAGTCGACAATCCAGCTCGCTACCGCCTGAGCTATATTGTACTGTCACAAAAAGACAGCGTTAGAGTGAAATATTGGCGTATAAGGGTGTTAGTTATGTATGCGTTCTAGCAGTGATGAATATTTTCGAATCTAGGGACTTGGACTTGAGGATTGATGGTTGTGAAAAATGTGTAATTATCGGCCAATTGGTTTGTACCAAATATAACACTTAAACGTTTTAATCTGTAATTACTCTGAAAGGAATAACTAAGAAAGGCTTAGGTATTGTAGTGATACATAGAATTATATTTAATCATTATTCATTACCAAGTTGGTTTCAGGTGCTATCTGAATGCCATTACATGGAACATTTAACAAAATAACAATAGTTGTAAACTATAATATACTTTTGTTACTGAATTGATTAAAATAAACTGCATTTTATTGGACTTGAATGAATTAAACTGAACAATAGAGTTCATTTCATAATAACTGCACCTGCGAGTTGGAATTTGAGCGAGATGTTCGCATTGTTGGATTATTATATATTTTCGATAAGCTTAATTTTACTATAAAGGCATTCTTTTTTGCAAATTTTATGTTGTTATTCCTAAACCCTTTTCATTACTTTGTAAAATTTTATCTACAAAATTACTACTATGATCACCAAGTACCTCCATGGTCTAATCGTGGTCTAATAATAACAAAAATGGGCTTGACAGAACTTTGATGCAATTGGTGTGAAATTATTGCAATGCGAAACTACGCGACTGACATAGTTTCTACTTTCAGATCACGAACTTTGTTGACCGAAATGTAAAAGGCGTGACTCAAATCGAACTACTGTATAAACGTTCCGACGTAAATAAAGTAAAATGAAAGTAGCACCTCAAATTCTTTCAACAGTTTACATCGAAAGAATGTTTCCAACACAAAACTTGCAAAACAATGTTTATGTTCTATGTTCTATTCTATCAAAATATCGAACGATTTATTCTGGCGTAGTGATTTCAATGGTGTTAACTAAGTTCGTGTCTGTTTTGTCTATCTAAAAACGTTACGTAGTTTCGTATGGAAATGATGCAATAATAATATGTTTATAAACAGTTGGCAACCAAACAGCACCTCTTCTGTTGTAAACACGTGTTTCGATCATCAATTTAAGAATGAGGGTAAGAATGATTGGTATTTCAGTTGTCTTTCGAATGTTTTTACGCTTTTCAGCTATATTATCTTCATTATTGGGAGCACTGGTTTAGGAATGAGGCCTATACACCCTAATAACGATAAGAATATTCCAGTTGTCTTATTTACCACAGAAAACAACCAGCTGTAGACACACGTTTCGGTTTCATAAAACAGGACAACTTGTTTATAATGAGGTTTAATTCCAATATTATATCGAGATGTATGAGAAAATTACATGAATTCCATTATGCTAGGTTTGCAGTGTTCCCGACGGCCACGGTAATCACGGTTCAGGCTATCGTGGGGAAGACGCGATTAACGCGGGGAGACGTGTTAGGCAAACGTGATTGCCGTGGATGCTGGTCAGAATTTTTAATTGTCAAAAAATTGCCGTGGATGCTGGCCAGAGTTAAACTGTCACAAAAGAAATGGCCGTAGTAAAACTGGGTAAATGCTACAAAACGTGACAATATGTGCACCGTGTCAGACCGTAGAAGAACTCAACGCACCGTAATGCTCCGGCCTGCAAAGCTTCAAACATCGGGACGCACCTTAATGTAACGAAACGGATTTCGTTCGTTCACTTTAGCCTGCCACGAGATCCGTGACAAAACGGAACACAGCGTGACAAAACGGAACACAGCGTGACTAAACGGAACACAGCGTGACAACACTGGAAAGGAAATGCCCGTCCCACTACGGACCATTTCCAAGTTTTGTAACGACCTATTACATATTGTCAAGTTTTGTAGCATTTACCCAGTTTTATTACGGCCTATTTTGTTTCTCCGCGCCGTGGCTGCCGTGGCAAATCTTTTGACAATTTAAAATTCTACCCCGGCATCCACGGCGTTGTCTCACGTTCACCCCGTTTCCCCACGGTCGCCTGAAGCGTGATTGCCTTATAAGTTTGGAACATATAAGTGTAGTATGATTGTCATTGCTGGGGGAGTTTTCAGTATACCGTGGGTACAGACGTGCTCCAAGCTTCCAAATTTCCACGTTAGACAGACGCATCAGTCCTGGATGAAGAGGACAACAACATGTGGGATCCCATCAGAAGGCATCGGACCGGTAAACAACCTTACTGACCTTTGGTGGAGCCGGTTCATCGTCCCAACGGCCTGTCACGGATACCGTGATAAACAGCAAGGAAACTCAGGCACAACAAAACACAAACAACCAAAATTCCACGGCGCAATATGTTTCGGGCAAACGGTGCTGCCGGGGCCGACTGGAACATTGTGTAAACCTAGCATAACCATTAGACTGGTAGTGTTAACACAGTGAATTGGTACAATGTCCATTCTGAGATAACGAGATCTTTCAACTGGCGTATTTTATTGGTCTGCGATCAGGAAGCTCATAAATTCAGACAAAGGAGATAAATGATTAAATGCGGAATTTTTTACTGTTGAGAAGTTTAACAATATCGTCTGGGGCAGATTTGTTATTGTAATAATCAATTGTCATGATCAATATATTAATCTATCTATTATATCCTCTTGTTGTTAAAACACAATGAAATCCCATTAAACTAAGCTTGCTTTTAAAAGTTAACATGGGTAACATACATGTATTATATATCACACTAGCTTTAAAGTGACGTATTCTTGTAAACTTCTAGTCTTCCTAAAATAAATCTGTTACATGTTTGTTTACCACCCAGAAAGCCGTACTTGTATCAAGTGAAAGTGAACGTTGCCAGTTGTTATTGACATCTACATGGGTGATAATGTGGGTTGAACTAATAACAAATTTACCCAGTGTATTTCTTTTGATAGAAACAATTTATTTATCAGATAATGTTGGTTGGTTAGTAGATGGCAAGTTAACGTCCGCTTCCAACAGATGCTGATATCACAGACTAGGTACTCGTAGTTTTGGTGGTAGTAGTTGTTGGTGGTTATATTCGTTCTATTGGATGATTCTGTGTTGTTGATGTGGTAGTTGAGAATAAGTATAAGACCTTGTCGGGTCGAATGACATGGCGGTGAAACTCGGCCCTAAGTAGTTTTCAGCATTCCTCGTTTTAATCATGGCAATCTGAAGAATTTGGTAGCGGATTCATTTCAATAGTCAATACTCTTCTACCTAAAGACGTAAAAAATCTTATTGTTGGACCGTTGTTGTTATCTTGACTGCTTCGTTATTATGTTTTATCACAGTTCAAGTTTTAAGATGGCTTTATCTTTTCTCTTTTTAGGAAACATCACCTACTGTCACCTTTATAGCACATCTGACCCTTTTCTGAATCAGCCCAACATATTGGCCTTACCAGATCCCCAAACGTGGAATACGCATGTGGTTTGCATTGGGTAATCTAAAACAGCTTATACAGGTTATATGTATTATATGTTTTGGAATTTCAACGTGTGTAGGATCAGCAAATTTGACATCAGCAACCTTCTACTGATATATGAAGCATGATTTTAGGTCTCCTTTCTGTTCTCCCATGTGGACGAATAATTTCTACGTTCTGACGGCAAACTAAGTCAAAACATTTCCTGTGGTATTATTAAGTGAATATCGAAAATTTTTCAGTAAAAAGTGTGCGTATATCTGAGTTTTGGATTGTACGCAACCGGTTAAACGGAGTTCCGCTGTGCACTTTTACGAATAATGTACTCTATATTAATTAGAACCCACTTCCGGAAGAGAAAGTAAAATAATGAACTGTTATTGAAAAATATATACTATGGAAAACGTAGCCTTATTGATAATCGTTCATTCATTAGAGACACGGCAGACTTCTATTATAGATTTGGATTTTAATTGGTTTTATTAACGGGTCACCGTAATTTCCAAGATGTTTTGATGTACTGCACAATACGTCTAGCCTATTGAGCGATTTCTAGTAATTTGCCGGAAGGAAGAAAGAAAGGGTCACCAAAACCTTGTCTCTCTCTTACTGTGCTATTTCATTCCGACCTAGACTACTACATCTTCAATTAGGTTTTTAAAAATAAAAAAGGGAAAATTGTATGATTGATGAAATCAATAAGACCGTCTGCTTGACGGGATGACAAATATTTAAAAAATCCTTGACATCGTGAACATTTTTCTTCTTACGGTATTTTCCATCATGTTAACGTGTACTAAGGTACTGTGGTGTATTAGTCTTGTACTTTCCGGCTTCATACTCACTCAAGGTAAGTCTATATTCTATATATATTAACTAGTCGTTACGATACTACTGTTTCTATGGGTAAGGTCCAGCATGGGTTAGGCGAATTCCGGCATATTAGAGCATGGGGCAATATTAGTTGAATCGGTGCAAGTGGTACCATAACTATTCTTTGTCCGTTCGTGTTTTGCAAATCAGACAGTGTCACGACAATCTCGGCTCGTCACGCAATAGAAATATTGAAATAAATGTGTATTGGATTTTAATCTCAAAATTATTTCCCGCGACCTCAACATAGTCGCTTATATCATAGGAGATCTTCAAAGATATGTCTGGCCTCTGAAAGCCTGTGATGGATGTAGGCTAGACTGGAGAGTATTCACGTAGTGTTCCCTATATGACTTCCCACTTGACATAAAAGTTATTGACCTGACATGACAAAAGCGTTTCGTCTTAAACTTTAATCGAGGCATCGTACGACACAGGTTTTACATCCTCACGCTATCTTGTCAGTTGGGAATCGGGAAATGGAGGCCACTGTCGTTCTCCTGGCACAATTTCATTTACTGCTCATGTTTCTCTTTGACATTAGCTCAATCAGAGGCAAAAAAAGCAAAAAAGACGTAAGACACCAATTAATTTCATTTTCATAATAGTCAAATGCGTGGGACGCGTAGAAATAAGGCTTGCGTATTTATAGATATAACTATGTTGGAGGGGGGGGGGGGGGGGGGGGGGGCATCGTTCTGTATGTTCGCTCCGCTTTGTTTATTGTGAACTCGACATATTGGAAACGATCTTAAAGGTTATATAGATCCATGTTTGCCTCTATTCGGGGGTATTTGGATATGTATTATCTGTATGGTTCTCTTTAATATCGACATTCGACTAGGAATTTATATAAGAGCAATAATCAATCAAGGTAGACCTTGAGTCATTCAAGTTGGTTGTCTGTGCCCTATATTAAGTGCACCTATTAAGTGCAAAATCAAAAAATCGTTATTTGTCATAATCAATGTTGCGGTAAAACTTAAAACTGTAGAGAATGTGTGTGAGACAGAGGAAGGAAAGGGTCGGAGAAGGGTAGTGGCGTCTGTACATGTGTGTTGACATGCTCCCTCCCCAAAAAAGAGGCAGGCTCGATTTTGCTCCCCCCCCCCCTTCCACTTTCAAATTTTTAATCATTTTGCATAGTGAAAGAATGGCCTATGCCCCCGCCCTGGGTAATTTTGTGGCCCTTGCTAGCCCTCCTCAATTAATGTTTCCTAGAAACGCAACTGGAAAAGGGTTGAGCAGGACATGTGCATTTTCTTTGACAGCCCTCAATAACACATCGAGCTTTTAGCAACTTCTTGACTGTAACAGCCACTATTTCACCGATTGGATAGAACGCCAACGAATACAGCCAATCAGAGACTTCAATAAAAATTCACAAACTTTCTGTCTGTGCCTCTAATAGACTGTATTCGCTAGCGTACAATCCAATCAAATCACTCCATTTACAACCTTCAAGAAAGGTGGCTATTGCAGTCGAAGTTCGTAGTAGCTTGACGTTGTGAAGATGTCTGATAACATGTCCCGATTTGTACTACCCCTTGTAGATAGTTGCACACATTATTCACTTTGTTAAATAGTCGTGCAATACATCTTTATTAGGAAATATTTGAAATAGTTAGTAAATAGTTTGTACGCAACTGACACGGTTTTGAATAAGATCAATTGAGGTATGTATTGAAGTTAAAATTAAAATTAGTTCAATCGAAAATATGCATCATATAATATGCACCAAGCATAAATTACCTCAAGGCTGATAAATTAAATTTTATTTACTCTTCAAACATTCCCGGATACATTAAGAGATGTGTAGGTGTGCACCTCTACTTGTTATGTAGGGTTGCAACAAAGTTATTGCTGGGGGTTAGGTATTGTTTGGTCGGTATGACTATGCAAACTTTCGTAAAACGTAAATACTATGTAATGTCACGTGATCCAATTGTATATCACATAACCGACTTTTATCAACAAAATGGCGCCGCAGATCAGACCGGCAGGTCATGAGGTTAAAGGATAGTATATGGTTTAGTTTTTCGCGTGATTTCATCGGCTATTGTTCTGATAACTGATAATTAATTGGCTGGCTATATTAATACCAAACAAGGAAGTATGTTAAATTATTGACCGATTTTTACCTGAACAAACTGTAACACATAATTTGCTTTTTATTAAGGTCTACATTATATATTTTTTGGTATTCAGAACTGAACACTGCAACTAGAACATGTAAAGAGATTATAAAGAGGTTTTCTAAATTGTCTAAGCGTATCGAGTACACTGATAGCATCCATGTTCACCACTCCAATTTTAATTTTCACCATTCCAATTTTAGTTTTCACCACTCCAATTTCAATTTTCACCACTCCAATTTCAATTTTCACCGTTCCAATTTTAATCAGACATCTGTGGTTCCAGCAATTCCGCTAAAAACTAAGTTTGATGACGTCACTAATCGAGAAGGGACTTAAGTGATATAAGCAGAATTTAGTGGAATCACAGACGTCTGATTGAAAATGTTACAAATTGATTTTATCAGTGTCCCCGATACACATGAAAAATTAAGAAAACCTCATAACAATCCCTTAAGCACCCCTAATTTTGAAAGGTGAAAACACCATGAAAGCACAGCAAAATATTCTGTTTCTAATGATTGTTGTTGTCAGTTTGACAGATGTCGATCAAATTGTCAGAAAAGCACGATTCTACCATAACTAGATTTTTTCCCACAAATTATAAGTAGTACAAATTTTAAACAATCACCATGCAATTAAGCTTTATTCAGGGCTAGGCATGTGAAACAAAGAAATGACTGAATTTTTCCCTTGCTCGTCTTTGCTATGTACAGACTTCAAGCACCTGCGTTTACGGGGAATGACTGGCTTTGTGATGCTCTGATTGATCTATGATAGCTGCTTACGTACATTTGCTCTTTTCGGCGAACAGTAGCGATTTTGTGCTGATTTTGAATTTGATGATTTTTTACATTGAAGCAGCACAGTGTTATATGCATATCACGTATAAACGTACTACAGAGGGAGACACTGGTTGATTTGAGGTCAAAAACACTGACAGTTATGTGATCAGGTCGTAGTTTAAATATATGTGTACCAATTGTCCACTGACCTGCTTAACTCGGTTTATATATAAACTACATATTCATTCAGTACAGATTGTGTTTTTTTCACATACTAGTCCATTGACCCACTGACTCTGACACACATCATTCTGGTTACATAATACTATCATTGTGCTAAGCACAGATCTCGGTAGCTTCCAGCAACCATTGGCCTACTGGATGCTAGAGTTGACATAGAACTATAAAGGACATTCAATCATGCTGATAAATGCAGAGGGAGTGGAAGGTGTGGGATTTCTAGATACGTGTGCAGAATTTGAAAAGATTACTATCCCAGATACATGGGAATTTTGGTACGGTTAATAACAAGCTTCGACATTGGTTAAACCGACAATCTGTCGGTAAACTTTTCTGTGTTGCCAACTAAAATTTATAACTGAATTTATTTACTACATTTGTCTAAATCTTTTATAGCTGGAATATGCTGGTATACCGTAACTAAAAGAGGAATGTGTCGAAACGTGAATTTCATTAACTCAACAAGAGATGAATGCTGTAGAACAACCCTACCTACCATGTCTTGGAGTCCACATGAGTCACCAACGCGTGGAACACTGTTTTATTGGGATATCCTGATGAGAGGAGCACCTCGGTGTTCTCCCTGTCACAGTAAGGTTTCCATTGTTTCTTTGTCGCATCGCGGCCAGCTGCATTGACATTGCGTGTTAGGCACTTAACTCAGATTAACTTCATTAAGTCATCTAGGTAAATAAGTCGTTTTTGGTTGTGAAAAGTCGCCTCGATTGGTCTGATCGAAACCGGGGATACTCTGTTAGGTCTAAGCGTTGATTGTATAGCTTACTGATATCGGGGTTTCCGGGCTGTTGACATTGTTAGACAAGACTCCATTGAAGTCCAGTATCCTTTTTTTAGGTACATATAATGAACAATTGATCAATGTAATTCGTTTCTGTTAGCTAGTTGTACCAATGTTCACTGTGGCAGCAACAAGAGATGCCGAATGAGACATGGTCGACCAAAATGTGTCTGTATACCAAATTGTCCTAGAGCGTTACGACATTCCGGATTGGTTTGTAGCAGTAACGGAATAACCTTCGATGATGCCTGTGAATTAAAACGACACAACTGTAGACATGGGGAGCATCTAACTGTAGCGTACACTGGACCTTGTAGACGTGAGTATTTCATCCTTGTACTCTGTATTATTTAGCACTATAAGGTGTAGAGACGGGCGTAAAACCTCATTTCGTATGACTTTTTTCAATTTCCTCACGATTGAACTATGTCATCCAGGCCAGGCATTATCCAAACGGTTTTAGATGTCATAGACCCTAGCGCTAAGGTCTTTCCTAGAATACACGACCCGATATCACGACCAGCACTTAAAAGTTGCTGCTACATATTATATTCTGTTCACAATCAATAACTTTCACCAAGCTCTATATAAAAATCTTCAGGGGTAAAGTCATCAATATATTTGCTTTACCAGCTGATTGAGCTCCATTTCAGCTATCATTAGATCTGGATATTGCCGATATCATCACGTAATTAATCATTTATGCATGAGAGAATGTTACAATGGATTGAGAACACAGACTTGAGCATAGATACTTCTGATAGTTCATTTATTTGTAGACGTACGCGACGTCAGATATTCATTAGACATATTATTATTTCTTGATATATACACAGGGTCTTGTCGAGATGTGAATTGTTCGAGAAATCTAACATGTTTGGAGGATCAGAATGGATTACCACACTGTGTACCCTGTGTTCAAAACTGTTCTCATGTGACCAGGTCTCCACCTGAGTTGTGTGGTGAAGACGGGGTAACCTACCCTAGCCGCTGTCATCTGTTTCAAGCTATTTGTGCGAAAGGGAAAACGATAAGGTTGGCTTACAAAAGTAGCTGTATAGGTATGTAAAATAGGGCAAGATCATCTTCTCATTGTCAAGCTATTACAAACGTCGGTCTTATACCTTGTCTGCAATAGGCAACTTTCTTGTGTCATGAAACGATTTGATACAGATAATCAGAACCTGCGACAGAAATTCTGTTTACAGTATTTCTGTCTAGCCTCTGAATGGCTGTATTCACTGACGTACAATCCAGTCAAATCGCTGCATTCCTTGGTTCAAGTATAGTGTACGGATTTCGTAATAGCTTGGGATTGTGAAGATGGGAGAAGCCTTGCAGACAAGGGTATAGTAGTTTCGGCCAACACCTTCATTTGGAGTAATTTGGTAAGGTTGAAGTTTCGTACAAAGACCAACGTTCTGATCTTATTCATGGACAGAGGTTTGGGTGTTTCGGCGAACAGGGAAATACGAAGCGAGTGTTGGAGAACTGCTCCTGCACTGAAACAGCTTTTGATGGTATTTTTGGGGATTCAACCGAGATCAAATGTATTTGGCCCTGTTTCCGACAATGTAACTAAGACAAGATCCAGATTTTAAGAAATACATTAATTCGATTTGTTGATAAAACTAAATTTAAAATTGATTTTAGTGATTGACCAATGAGATAAATTGACCTCTAAAATCAATCATTAAGTTTTCATGAATGTGAGCCCAAATCCTTACGAAAAAACTCTTATCTGTATTTTGCATTTTTTGTCTGTTTTCTTGTAGAAAATGCATCCTGCAGTACCATCAACTGTCCAGAGAACTATACATGTCTAAACGACCCGAGGACGGGTCGACCACAATGTTCCAACTGTAACCATCTCTGTAACACATCTACACGTGATGTGACTGTGTGTGGTACGGATGATATAACATATAGTAGTTATTGTGTCATGCAGCAAACTGCATGTGCATCACAAACTGTTATCAAGACTAAATATTCAGGAATATGCAATGGTATGTATGATTATATTATATTATAATAGCTGACATGCGTCCATCATTTCTACACTAATACGATAATTCTTCCTTCAAAAGTTTGAATTCCCATGAGAGAATTATACATAATATAGTGTTCTAATTTATCAAATAAAACACCTGATAATTAATGCTGTCCAAAACAATGATTCTGTCGCTACAAGAGCATTTGATTTGGGTGTACTGTGAATACTTGGCATTGTAATAACATTGATTGAGAATTTGTCATGGTATTATCATTTTAAGTATGTTGTAAATTTAAAGAAGTGTCTTTCTCAGCTGATCAGGAAAATAATTCAGGGGAAGTAACTGCTATCAACAGCATACCGCAATCATGTCTTGCCTCGACTTCCCAATCTCTGACAACTGTTGTGTTAATATAGTTCTTCAGGGTTTCATGCTGTAGAATATTATTGTTATTGACTCCCATCCCTGTGGGCGCAGTGGGTTCGCTTACATAGCGCATCCCAGTAGAAATGTGCCTGAAACACACGCTCTTGTCAATTAATGGATAGATAAGATATACGCCTCTTGTTGGCAGCATACAAAACCAAAACAATAATTTGAAAAGATTGTATGATATGATTTTACACTAGTGAAATGGAACAACAAATCGACAAAGAAAGCGACTAAGAAATGTTATAAAAAACGACGACGTAACCGTAACATAATAAAGAGGTAATCTGTAAGTTGTAGGTAGTTGTAGTGATAGAATCTCTCTTCAAAATAAGACGAGGCATAGAACAAAAATTTACATAATTATTATATAGGTATGGAAACCTGATCGTTTGGATTGGAATTAGGGTTAGATATTTTAAAATCATTCCACAAAGGATACAAAAGGAAAGAACTTTCTTGGGATGAAATTGGACGATTCCATCATATACTTTATTATACTAAGTTATAAAGATGAGTTGCCGTACCTGCTGAGTGTTAAATTAAATCCTAGGTCACCTGAAGGTCAGATTCTTAATCTGCGAAGGTTAAGGTCAACGGAATCATATCAGCTGGTAAAATAAATAATCAGAAAACACCTCTTCTTTATACTCGAGATTGACAAAACCTTTCGGAATACCCGGAAATTAACCGCTATGCCTAGTCCTATCGAAAGAGATCCATAGAAATAGTGAACTACTTTTTCTCTTTCTGTTCTTTTAAAAATACAATTCTTTCGTTTACAAAATTTCTATGGGTTTTTCTTTTCTGTGTACTATTTGTGGTCTCTGTAGTACTATATCTGATTATTGAATCTATATATTCTCCCAAGGGATTGTTAAGAGCTTGTATTTGTATTGTTTTGCCATATTTGTTTACTGATAATTTCATTGTACACATTTAAATTTGAAAATAGAGGGGCAAGTGACAGTAAATTTTCGGCCTCGATCAGCGTCACTATATAGCATCAACGAATAGTTTACTGTTACTAGTTCTGTAAATTAGAAAGTTTAAACCCCTGATATCTTGTCATGGCAATATCGAGTATCGACCTCTTTACAATCTCTTTGATCCTGTAATAGTTGGTGTGTATGTGTGTAAAAGGTATTTATAAATATAAAGGCTATTCAATAATATTATTACATGTATATTTATCTATATGCATATCATCTATATTTTACGCTTTTATTTATGTTGCCTTTTCTATATTTTATTATCTTCTAACTCAATACTCGTCATTCTTTTATAAACATAAATAATATTATTCACTGGGTGGTCTGTCTAAAGAACATAATATATTTTCTTCATTTCATTCAATAGAACTCATTGGAAAAAGCTTTCAAATCTTCAACTTATCAAAGTTTGCTTCCTGCTCATTTCTCACACGACTTCTGTTCTACCGACGCAGTAAGGGGAACAGGAGCACAGGTAGGGTAAATAGAAAAATAACTATATGAGTTGCGTATTTACTAAGGATTATAGAAACCTAATACCATTCGTGTTTTTATTCCAGGCGCTGTTTTTACAGAAGATTCAGACCAATGATGAAATTCAAATCAAGGTTTGGATGGAAAGTGTGAATATTTTATGGATTTGTCTCCCTTGGTGTGTACAGAGTAAATTGAGCGAGGATCTATTTTAAAAGTGTTGCTGCTTGTACAAAACGGCGAGGTCGCACAATAAATCAGTGTGTGTGAAGTTTCAATATTTGTATAAAAAACTAGTTTTCTCAGAAAAGAAACAACTAATTTATATATTTTACATTATACTAACGGTTGTGATTCAGCGAATATTTGATATTATTTTGACAATAATTGATAAACAAATTACTGAGACCTCATTTATATTTTCGACTTTTGGACTTAGTGATTTGGACTTAAATGGTTTACTATTTGCATTGCCATGTTTCACTGGGATTTGTCTTTAACTCATGGATCTAGACTTATGACAGGAAACTTTCGCCAATCACAGAAGACCATCAAATGTCGAACATTATTGTATATATTTGGAAACCATACGAGTAGTTAGATTTGTTTTATATCATCTTTTATTCCAATAATATTAGCACTGTACCCTTTAAAGTGGTCGTCTGCAAACCGGAAGTAACATATTTACCAGAAGCTGAAGATTTGTATTTACCAGTTGTCAGTACATGTAATGAAGTTAGTTACTAGAAGTTACATAAGTGACACTATGTGGGTCGATTTTACTTACTGGAAGTTGACACTATGCTGATTGAAATAACAACCGGAAGTTTTATCTAAGCGGATTGAAGTTTCAACCGGAAGTTGTCACCATGCGGATAGAAGTAACAATAGAAGTTACTGATTCTACGCATGCTAACACTGTGTGGATGGGATTAACATGCTTTACTGAAGCTGGTACAATATAATTTGTAAATTCGAAAGATTAGCTATTGAGACACTCCGAAAGGGTTGATATTCATTTAAATTATATATATCTAATAAGTAACAATGTTTTGCTGGTGTTTCTCGAAGGATATTGATATAAAATGTATCAACAGTAAGCCTGATATCTCCAAGTAGTACCTTACGATTTTCTGGTAAATAAATGTTATCCATATCCTATGATAGGGCTAGATACTAAACGCTGATTTACTGTGAGTTGATACTGCTCACTTACTGTTCAGTTAATTTGAAATTCATAAGAGTGCATTGGATGTATTTTTGGTCAAACCTACATCTGTTGTACTTTACAGCTCAAATCACGTGCCGACAAACTCTCTTTTGATTGGCCGTAATTTCGACACCAATGCTTTTATTAAGATGGCGATTCCACAATAGGGATTCGAACAATTTTATGACGAACAATTAGCTATTAGACAGTAGCTTAATTTGATGAGTGGGGCCCGTAGACTTAAGTGGGTGGGATATTTTCTAACATCTGCAATCCGAGACTCCTCTGTAATTCAATTTGAAGTCAATTTAATGCCTGTTAATGAAAGATTTAAAAATTGTCAGTCTGTAGTACATAATAAAGTCCTTGGGAGGGCCCCAGCATAACTTGTGAACTATTGTATATTATGGTTTACCTCTTTGATAATTTTGTTTTCTGGGGCGGGGGTATCTCGGGGGTTTGAACCAGTTGTTATGATAGTTGAGTCACTGCTTTAAAGTCCACAAAAGTGTAAAAAGTAAATACTTTGACGAATGTATAATTTAACCCGAAACGCAATCATTTGATAATCACAGAACTATCGAGAACTATCGAGAAATAAAAAGTTTGTCTATCGTTTTGTATGTTTTTAATATGATTGATATTTTTGTAATTTTAATCATCGTTATTTACCTCAAATAATATATTTTAATTGTGAGCAATATTTATTCATTCATATATTATAAGATAGATTTTAATATTACATAACCACGTGTGGTTAATAAATGATTTCATATATGGTTCTTTTTCTTGTATTTTTACTGTACTTGCATATCATCCCTACCATTACATAATGCCTAACAATACCATCTGATGGGCGTAATCGGTTCCATTCACCCCGTGTTTGTCTTGTCTTGTAACAAATCCCAAAAATCTGTCAGGATGAAGGGAATTTTGTTATCAATTTATAAATATAAGGAACCACCCAACATCAAACATAAAATGCTCTGAAATTGGAGAGATATCAAAACAAGCAAATAAACAACAATACTTTTATTTGTAAACACTACAATAAAACAAATCAAACAGGTATCTTCTCAGCTTCTCTAAATATCTATATTTAGTTTATTCTAATTTACACTTCTGGAATTAAATTAATAATTATATTAATTTGTTATTATATTATATATACTTAAATTTTATTATCTTAATCTTAATTTAGGATATATAAGAGTTTTGTATCTTTACGTTACTTATTTTATATTATTATTGTTTCACAAAAAGGTATAATATTTCTCCAACCCAATGTTGGTATTTAATTATGGGCTCTTTATTTAATCTTGGAGAATGTTAATTTCTCCAACTTTAAGCTTAAGGTTTCTCTAATTTTAATCTTTCTCCAAATTTTAGATTGGAGATTTTCTCCAACCAAAGGTATTTCTCCAACTTGATCTTGGGGATATTCTCCAACTTTGATATATTGAAGATATTCTCCAACTTTGATATTTTGGAGATATTCTCCAACTTTGATCGTGGGGATTTTCTCTAACTTCAATAGTGGAAATATTCTCCAACTTTGATATTTTGGAGATATTCTCCAACTTTGATCGTGGGGATTTTCTCTAACTTCAATAGTGGAAATATTCTCCAACTTTGATATTTTGGAGATATTCTCCAACTTTGATCGTGGGGATTTTCTCTAACTTCAATAGTGGAAATATTCTCCAACTTTGATATTTTGGAGATATTCTCCAACTTTGATCGTGGGGATTTTCTCTAACTTCAATAGTGGAAATATTCTCCAACTTTGATATTTTGGAGATATTCTCCAACTTTGATCGTGGGGATTTTCTCTAACTTCAATAGTGGAAATATTCTCCAACTTTGATATTTTGGAGATATTCTCCAACTTTGATCGTGGGGATTTTCTCTAACTTCAATAGTGGAAATATTC